GAGCTGTAACCTAATCAGTACATCCTAATTTGAGTGAGCTAGGTGGTAACTGTAGGCAGGTGGAGTATGGCTAGAGGAGGTGGGTCACTGGGGGTTAACTTCCCTGTGGCCCCTTCCTCTGCTTCCTGGCTATCATGAATGGATGTCCTTTCATCATGAGGTTCTCTCTCACTTGGGCCCAGAGAAATGGAGTTGGCCCAAATAAATTTTGAAACCATGAGCCCAAATAAACTTTCCCTCTAAGTTACCCTTGTCAGATATTTTGGTCAGTGACAAAAAGAGGAATAATACATACCTCCAAGTCTATTATTTCTAGCTTGGAAATTTCTCCAAAGCCTGAGCCCCATTCTCATTTTGTCTCAAGTCCCTAAACCAAATTCCTCCAATTTGTTTCTCCCACCTGTAACCCACAGTTCTTCTGCACCTCCAATTCTATACCTAGATAGTAAAACTGTGTGTGGTATAAAATATACACAATAGGGGCTGGGGATGTAGCTCAGTGGTAAAGCATTTCCTGAGCATGTGTGAGACCCTAGGTTCAATACCCAGCACTGCCAAACAATAACAAAAAAGGAAACACAATAGTATTGGAATTTTTCTGCTTAATTATGGTTGAAAATGGGGCTCTAAAATCTCATCACCGAGTAACTGATTTATTCAATAGTTCATTTCATACCCTGCAGGTAAGGTGTACAAAAAGTAAGGCACTGTCCTCCCACACACTTTTCACAATTGTTTAATGTCATAGTACTGATGCAGTCCTGAAGGATGAAGAGAATAACACACTTTGTAGTTAATATTAACTTCTGTCATCTCACAATTTAATCATAGGACCTATCAATATCATGAAAAATTTTCCAATCTGCTAAATGACATCTGTTTTTGGTGATGGGAGTGGTTGTTGCAGCAGACATAGCTAGTATACAAAAAAAAAAAAAGTCCTGATGCTAATTCAAGAGAAAAACACCATTTACATCAGAAAAACCCTGTCCCAAAAACCACAGAGAATGTCTTAAAAACATGCCCACACAAATTAATATTATATATATGTATGTGTGTGTGTGTGTATATATATATATATATATATATATATATATATAATGTATATGTATATATAATATATATATATATATAAACACTGACATTTCAAGTTTCTTTTTAAGTCTTAATTTTTTAGCTAATTTAAATTTATTCTATTTTTCCAAAATTCTAGAAAAACTCAGTTAGTTCTTAAAATTCTAAAAGATGTGATTTCCCTCCTGTTTTTTTTTTTGTTTGTTTGTTTGTTTGTTTTTAAGATAATGTCTCCTATGTTGCCCAACCTGGTTTTCTGGTCTAAGTTCTGGTTAGGGGACAGACAGATGAGGATGGTGGAAACATGAGGTTAAGAGAATAATTCTATAAAATGGGCTCACTGTGCTGACCCCACATGCTTTCTTTGCCAAAAAGCAATTTGCCTGCAGCCCTGCCTGGCCTGGGTGGACAGGATATGTCACATTCCTCAATAAACTACCTGTTATCTGTAAAGAAATGTAAGCAGGAAATATTGTTGATAAAAAGAACCCAAGTTACTTTGAAGGAAAACTTTTGTGACCCTCTTCACAGATCAGATCCTAGAAGATAAGGATAGTTCCTCCTGACCATAAAACATGTAAAAATGATTAAGAGTCCAATTAAAACTACTCATCACAAGCCAGGGTATCATAGAGTTGTCATGCAACAGGCACTTGAAAGTCTGATGTCAACCTGCTATCAGTCAAAAGTCAAGAGGTGGACCTGGGCGGGACTCTCTGGAAACTTATCTGGGATCCCCAATAAAACTGGAGTCCAGGAGAGGCACATTGTTCCTCTCCTCTCTGAGAGGACCCACTCCCTCCCTTGAGAGTTTCCCCTTTACCTTTTCCTATCCCTTCAATAAACTCATTTCTGTTACTCTGAGTGGCATGTCTGAAATCTTTGTGACTACATTGTAAGAATTAGGGTTTGAAGGGTGGATCTTCATGCTGTCTCAGTTTTCTGGAAGGCCCCAGCTTCATAACATTCTGAGCTCAAGTGATTCTTTGCCTCAGCCTCCACAGTAGCTGGTACTACAAGAGTACATCACCATACCTTGATAGAAAATCAAAATTCTTCAAAAAAATGGTTATGTCCCTATAATTTATTTTCTACTGAACCTAGATCAGTGACACACCAACCTATATCAAACATGATTCTAATGTGTACACATGTATTCAAACTTAGGGACCAGTATTAGTTCCATGACTCTCTTGGTTAATGAAGATTGGAAATAGAGCTCATTCAAGTAAATGAGTAGGCACAATAGTCATAATCACAAGGTCCTCATCAAGGGCATTAATCTCCCTATTTTCTTATCCGATAATAAGGAAGAAGCCAAATAAAGGTAAACCAAATATCTACGTACTGACAAGCTTTCTATTTTCAATAAAACTTGTTTTACAGTGACTAAACCCAAAGCAGAATTTTAGTACTCGACTATTCACATCTGATTTTTGGAATGTTGCTTGAATTGGCAAATGATGTGATATGAAGAAAAAAAGTGACGCATACAACTCCAAAATAAAAGAACTCCCTATATTAAACTTTGCCCACATAGATGATTTAGCTGTTTGCTTCTCCCTGAAAAGAAATGGCTGGAAGCATATGGTTCTCTCAAACACCATCTTGAAGAGGGGTAAGAAGGAAGAACATTCCAGAAGGAGAAAAGATTTAAAAAGCAAGGTAGCCTAGGGCAGAAACATCATCTGCTATAAATATTGCTAATTCTGTTTCTTCTACTTTCTGCTGAAAAGAATGCAGAGCATTAGATCCCATGCTACCATTCCAAGCCTTGTGAAAAATATAGTAGAAAAGGGACAGTTAAAAAAAAAAGCAGGCAGTGCTAGGTGTGGCACACCCATAATCCCAGCTACTGTGGAGGTTGAGGCAGGAGGAGTAAAAGTTCAAGGCCAGGCTAAGCATTTTAGAAATACCCTGTTTGGGGCTAAAGATGGAACTCAGTGGTCCTGCACTCCTGGGTTCAATCCCCTGTACTGTAATTTAAAAAAAAAAAAAAAAAAAGGCCGTAAGAAAAAAAATAAAAAATAAAGCTTGACTTAGACAAACTTGGCCTTGACAGGAACCTCCTTTCACCCTCACTGCCCCATTCTGGAAAACAGCCCTGACCTTTTCACAGTCTTTTAAAGGGGAAAAATACAAGGAAATAATGGGGAGGAGGAGGAACAGAACAAGCTGTAAGAAACACATTATTCTCACTGCTTCACTCCCATAACCTCCACCAGTTTGGGCAACATTGACCTTCAAAGTCTGCCCCCACTTCCTTGCCCTCATCATCAGAGCCAGCTAATTCTAAAATCATTTAACTTTCCTGGGTATGTAACTTACTCCACTACTGCAAAACTTGAATACCGAATATATGCAAAGGCATTCTTTTATATTATTTTTCAAAACAAATAACCTTAATACTTGATTTTATCAATTTTACATTCATGTTAGTTACATCATGGTTAAACAGGCTTCTGTGAGTCAGTCTAAGAAACTACAATGACCATTGATAACCCTAGATCCATTGGTTCTGATCCAAGTTCCATCACTGGCTCCAAAGGAGTAGTCCAGGTCTGACTAGGCCTTTCCCTGATTAGGAAAGGTTTTGTGACCTTCAAATCAGTCTTTTTCTCTCTGAGCCTCAGTTTCTTCATTTTTGCAATAAAAACCTGGAATAGTTGTAAAAAATTTACTGCCATTTTGTGTTATGTGGATGTTCTGAAAGAGTATTAAAGCATCTTTGTTTCCACAGACTATAACTTTCTTTTAGATAAGAATCATGTTTTATACATTCCTTGTATTTGGTAGAGACTCAGTAGATCTAGATTGATTTAAGTGGGTAGGAAGGGAAAATATGCAAGACACTAAAATGTGGATGGATTTGATCAAACTCACATAGTAAACTTGGATCAGAAATAAGAACTAGACTACTTACTTCCAGTATTTTCTACAGCTGAACCCTCTCAAGTCCCTTTTACACATTCACCCAGTCCTTTGTATGCCTATCTCAAATATCCTCAGTTATTAAAAGTTGAGGCTTATATCTAAAAGCTCTTCAAATCCCCCACAACGTTTGATGTAACACTTAAGTACTTTCGTGGGAGAATTCTCCAGAACACTGCCTTCCAATAAAACCAGTTAGAAGATGCACCCTCTGAATAAAATTTGTATAAACAAGCTCATTTTAAGCCTTGCTCTAACCCCATACTGAGGAAGCAAACGAAGGATTATGTTACATGAAGGAATCTTCCAGATTTTAAGTTTTATACATTTTGGCAGGGCCTAAAGCGCTCAGGCAAAGAGTTCATAAAGGAAGGGGGGGGGGTAGTTTTTACAGCACTCCGCTAAAAAATGGGGGAGGTGGAAGGGAAAATAACTATTAAGACAGGTTAAAAATTGGGAAAGAGAAGGTTCGAGCTTCAAAAGTGCCACCTTTCAAAGATCCATGGATTGATTTTTGAGCCACCGAAAATTCACTCTATAGCGTACCGGAAATGGAATGGGTTAAACTTTTGCAGATGGATGGAAACAGGGGAGCATCTAAAAATCAAGGGTGGGGGTTTGGGATTCGCAGGGTACACATGGGGAGGTGGAAGGGAAAAAGCAGAGGGCAGGAAAACAAGATATCGCTGTAGTCAGAAGATGAATGGGGGAAAGAAACCTAGTAATGCCAGTGGGAAGGAAAATCAGAGGGCAGGGGTGAAAATAGGGAGGGGGAGGAGGAGGAGGAGGAGGAGGAGGAGGAGGAGGAGGAGGAGGAGGAGGAGGAGGGAAAGAGCCCGGGAATGAGCGCTGGTCGAAGGAAGGTGGGGGAGGGGGCCATTGGAAGCTCAGCCTCAGGCAAAGGACCTGAAACGCGGCTGGGGCGCGACCCCGCGTTCTCCAGCAATAGGCAGCGATGTCGGAAGTCCACCGCTGCCCTCGGAGGCGGCTCATACCTGTTGGTATGGAAGCGGTGGAGCGGGTCGGTGCGATGGCAGGAGGACAGCTGGCAGCCAAAGTCGCTGATGTCCAGGCAGCCTGGCTCCTCGCTGGGGCAGGTGCCCACCCCGCGAGGGGGTCCCAGGAGCGGGAAGGGCTCCTCCGGGGTTAGGAACTTCTCGTAGGAAGTGGTGGCTGACGCCTCGTCGGACATGGCTGGAGATTGTCCGGCTTGGACTCCTTCTCTGGCCCTGGGCTGTTCCCGCGCCCTCCCCTGCCCCCACTCTAACCTGTCCGCTGTCACCGCAGCTCCAGGGTGTGCCCACCGCAGCTCGCTGGCGAGCTGAGCACCGAGGTCCCCGCTGCCCGGGGAGTGCGGATCTGTGTGAAGAGGCTGCACGAGGGCAGAGAGGGTCGCCGGCCACCCAGTCGGCGCCCCAGTGGCCTCTGCAGCCGCAGCCTCAGCCGCTGCCGCTGCCACTACCCCGCCCAGCCAGTCAGCGCAGCGCCACCGCCCCGCTTGGGCGGCCCCGCCCACTGCGCTCGCAGCTTGCGACTGCTGCAGTCGGCCAGACGCCGTCCAGTATAGGAAGAGCGGCGGGAAGCCGCTCCCCTTGCCCCCTGCTGGAGCGGAGGAGCAACTGAACCTCCGCGGGCCACAGCCCCGCGTGGCCCGCCCCGCCCGACGCGTCGAATCAGGGATTCAGGGCTTTGGAAAGACTGACTCAAACCAGCGTCCTCCTCCACTTTCCCACTCGCACCTAAGCAGCAACTGCAGCCCTGAGAAAAGGGACTTGGCCAAGGTCACACCGCGGGTGCGTGAGAAAGGATTCATGTGTCCTTGTTCCCAGCGTACTCGATCATCCTGTCTCAATTCAACAAGTATTTATTGAGCTCCTGTAGCGTGTGTGCCCAGCACTGTGCAAAGAGCTGTAGGAGAAAAACGCCAAGTAGAAAAAAAATAGTCCCTGCCTCACCCTTAATCACCTCGCTTCAAGAACCCTACGCTCCAGCTACCAGGCTACTCAGAACTGCTGGACACGTAGTGCTTCTTTTGTGCTCTGTGCTTTTGCTCGCATTATGCACTCTGCTTGGAATGCCCTGCCATTTCTTCCCTGCTGATCCTTAAAGCCCGGCTCAAAAGCTACCTCCTCGGTGAAGCCTTCCCAGACTCCCAAAGGAGACACACACTCCCGCTATTACTTCCCGCAGGCCCCCCTCCCGCGTTGCAAGTATGGTATGGAACTGATTCAACTTAACTCAATTTACTAAATTTCACTGTTCTTTCCTGCTATCACTTCTCTTTGCTCGATTCTCCAGACAAGTGGTTCCAGATGTTGTATGCACAAAATATTTAGAGGAAAACCCAACATTGCCAATTTCTTATTTTGTCAAATGAAGACACTTTTAAAAACAACCCACTACTATTTATAAAAGGAAGCTTTCCTCCCCTCCTCCCCCACTCCTCTTCTCCTTTGGCACAAGAGACTGAATCCAGAGGTGCTTTACCATTGAGCTACATCTCCAATCCTTTTTTTTTTTTTTTTGAGACAGAGTATCACTAAGTTTCTGAGGGTCTCACTATATTGCAGAAGCTAGCCTCAAACTTGTGGTCCTCCTGACTCAGTTCTCTAGTTGTTGGGATGAAGGTGTGCTCCCAGCTAGCATTTATTTCCATATAAAATTATAAGACATAATATTATAAGGCATGTAATATAATAATAAAAACAATTATTTACATTAAATATATTAGCTTTATGGAAAAATTCATTACATTGATCCTAGAGGGAAGTAAGGAACTAAAGTAGAAGGGGAAAGATGAAGGAACACAAGAGCAAGAAAAGAAAGAGGACAACATAAGGGAAAAACTGTCACACAAATAGGCACACTCTGTGCCTTGCCCTACCAATATAATATAATGAAAACAACTCCCCCAAACACTTCTAAAAATTTATATGTAGTCGTCCCTGGGTATCTGCAGAGTATTGATCCAGGACCCCCAAAGACAGGAAAATCCATGGATGCTCAAGTCCCTTGTATAAAATGGCAGAATATTGCCAGGAACACCTGTAATCCCAGAGGCTTGGGAGGCTGAGGCAGGAGGATTGCTAGTTCAAAGCCAGCCTCAGCAAAAGTGAGTTCCTAAGCAACTCGGTGAGATCCTGTTTTTTAATAAAATACAAAATAGGGCTGGGGATGTGGCTCAGTGATCCCTGAATGTAATTCCCACTACCAAAAATAAAATAAAATGGCAGAGGGGCTGGGGTTGCGGTTCAGTAGTAGAGCATTTTCCTGGAATGTGTGAGACACTGGATTCAATTCTCAGCACCACATCTAAATAAATAAATTAAATAAAGGTCCATCAATGACTAAAAATAAAATAAAATGGCATAATATTTACATATAATTTGTGCACATCATCCTATATACTTTAAACAATCTCCAGATTACTTATCATAGTTGTTATACTGTATTATTTGGGGAATAATGATGAGAAAAACCTGTGTATGTCTGTACAGATACATTTTTGTTTTCAAATATCTTCTACTCACAGTGGTTGAATCCCAGGGTGAAGAACCAGCAGATATACTGTCTTGCTTCAGTTATTTGGTTACCTAACTGTGGAGCATGACCATTTTCTTTCATCTAGATTGCAGGTATGTTGTATTGGGAATGTGAATTTCAAAATCAATCATTCATTAACACCTCAGGATGCCAACCAATTTAAAACTTGTGGAAGTGAGGATGATTAGGGTTTAACCTATGATTCTCAGTGTACCAATCCCCAGGGGTCTGGGGCTAGTGAAGCCAAATGGGTCATGGCTTATTCCCCAAAAACAAAGATATTCGATTGTCCAAATGGAACAAGAGTCAAGTGCTTCAGGATAACATTAGGTACTCAGGTAAGATGTTTGTACTGGGGATTGAACCTGGGGGCTCTACTACTAAGCTACATCCCCAGACTTTTTTATTTTTTTATTTTTTTAATTTTTGAGACAAGGTCTTGCCAAGTTGCTCTGACTGGCTGGAAATTGCAATCCTTCTGCCTTAGCCTCCTGAGTCGCTGGGATTATGGGAGTGCACCACCATGCCCAGCAAATTATGTGTATTTTTTATACATACTCTGAGAGGTGGGTGTATTTCAGGCTGGAATCTAATGATAGTCTGCATATTTTCTACAAGCATGTTTTACTTCTGCATTTAATTTTAAGCATATTCAGGAGTATCTGGATGAGCACATGATAATTGCTACCACATAATTAGGATGTATTTGAGTCTGTTTTCACAATCAAATTCACACAAGGTAATACTACTTTAATTGCCATGAGCTAGTGAGAAAATAAATGAAGTGAACCTTAGACTTCATGGATTGCTACATGAATGAATGTTTGCAGTAGTGTGAAAAAAGGAAAGGAAAAGTGGAATCCTCACAAAATCTCCTTACAAGCATGCTGAAGCCCAAGATCAACACCGGCCAGTCACTAGTATGTTAACACGACCCCCCATCGTGAGTGTGTGTGTGTGTGTGTGTGTGTAATACTGGGGATTGAACCCAGGGGTGCTTTACCACTGAACTACAACCACAATCCCTTTTATTCTTTATTTTGGGACAAGTTCTCACTAAGTTGCTGAGGCTGGCCTCAAACTTGTGATGCTCCTGTTTCAGCCTCCTGAGTAGCCAGGATTAAGGCGTGCACCACCATACTCACATTTCTAAGGGCAGTTTTGTTTCATAAAATATCGTATATCACAAAAAGGTGTATTAAGAATTGTAATGCAAATGATGATAATAATAATAATAACAACAATAATAATTAGAGCTCATGTAAAAAATAAATAAATAAAAATTTAAAAAACAATATTATCTTTTCTAAATAAGTTGTGTACACAATTTTTAAATTTACTTTGATATTAAATTTGTATAAGAGGCTAAGTGTAAAGCTACACAGTTTGTTTTTTAGTCCCTTCTGTGGTTATTCTTCAGCCTAAGGTGAGGGAGAGTCTGTTACTATATGAAGGTGTGATCATCCTTGTTTGAGGTGTCAAAATGGTATGTCAAGTTCCCATCTATAGTTGTTTCAACTTCTAGGTTTAAAATAATTTAAGATTAGTTTAAGTCTAATTATTATTGTCAGGTTTTCCTTCTCTTTCTACTGTATGATCATTTGCTGGGTACCTGACAGTTTAATGGCTGTAATGGGAGAGCACACATCTAGAATTGCAAAACAGACAGAAACTAAACAAAAAAACAAACAAACAAAAACTGCACTATGGTCAGAATTTGAAATCCACTTCTCAGCCATGAGCCAAAATTACCCTTATTAAACCAAGGGAATAGATCTCATCCCCAATCTGAGGTCTATAGAACCAGCTATGAGGTCATTCTCCAAATCACCCAAGGTAAGGTGAGGTCTTCAGGAATGGAAGTACTACATTCTTCTATAAAACATCACACGTTCTCCCTTAGGAAGCTAATCTCCTATTCCTCAAGTAGCTCTATTCTGAACCACACCTTGTTCAATTTCATGAGCTTCTGGGGCAGAAGGTTCTATGGTCTTAGTGGCTGTATTAGTTTTCTGAGGTTACAATAAATACTTACCACAACTTGGTCATTTAAGACAATTGAAATTTATTCTTGCACAGTTCTGGAGGCTGAAAGTCTGAAATATGGACAGGCTACCTGTTTTTCTAGAGGAGATGTAATTCCTTGTCTCTTTCAGCTTCTAAGGGCTGCCTTGGCATTCTTGAACTTGTGACCTCATCATTTTACTCTGTGCCTTCATCATCCCTTCATCTTCTTCCTTTCGTACCTGTCAAATCTCCTTCTGCCTCATTTCTATAAGGACACTTGCCATTGGATTTAAGGCTCTGCCAAATAATTAAGGATAAAGTCCTCTTTTCCAAAATCTTTATCTAATATTTTTCTATCTACAATAATATTTGCAGATTCTAGGGACTGGACTGTAGAAATATCATTTGAGAGAGCCACCATTCAGCTCACTACAGAGACATTGTCAAAATTTTTGCTAGTCTCTGAACCACAGAACATAGGATTTGTTTTACTTTCTAGGCCCCTTGTAAAGCATGGAATTAAGAGGACTGAGGAAAGAAAAGATAAATCAAGAATTCTTCTAAAGTAATTAGGATTTCAATTCTCAAATCCTTCTTTTTTTCTGTTTTGAGTTAAAATACCTACCAATTATTTTCCAAGAGGACAAGCCAATGGGCCAAAATATGTAATGTCAGAGAATTCCAATAATAAAGCCAATTCACAATGTCTTTGACAAAATATCTGTAAGGATAATAATTGAGCTCATTTCCAATGAAGACAATAAATGTTACATTTCATTTACAAACATGAATGGACACAATTTGTGAATGAAAACACTTAAGATATATCATATTAACAGAGACACAATGTACACATTATGCCATGAATTACCAGACATACAGGGAAAACATATATTGAAAGAATATCATAAATACCAATTAAA